TAAATAATTTTTACATGTATTGAATATGCGTATTCCCACAATGAATATATTCACTCGATACTTAATAAGCTAAGTTGTGTGAAAACTATGAATTATACAAATGTAACTTCCTTATTCTAAGATGATCATTCGAATGTGTATCACATATGCCATAAGATGTGTCAACTTGGCTTGGCGCGAATAATGAGTTTTTATGACTTATGTCATAGCCAATAAAGTCTATTGCAATTAAAAGCAAAGTAAACATTGAAAACTCTTGAAGAGTGACTCATATTCAGTTTTAGAATTACATAGAATATTGGATTCAAAACACCATTAAGAAATCTCTATGTTAACAAAATAAATTAATTTAGTTTGGGACGTATTTCTTCTCTTAATCCTTTATATCCCTAGTAAATATATATATATATATATATATATATATATATATATATATAGAGAGAGAGAGAGAGAGAGAGAGAGAGAGAGACGTATCATATCCATATTTGTATCTTAGATAAATCATGTATTTGTATTTGTGCTTCCTAACACGAGGGCAGAACTGCTATCAAACAATCAATTTCTTCAATAATTGGTTGACCTAGTTGACCAGCTCAGACCTGGTCGACTAGCCTTCTAGTTCAGTCAATTTGAAGAGCATGTAATGAGGAAATCTAGAGAATTGGATACTTAGGTAGGCCGTAACAGGTGCGGGATAGTCTAAGGATTAAAAGCTTTAATAGTAATAGTATAAATCATGATTAGAAGGATTTCATGGGCCAAAAAGGGTCCAGCTAGGTGGGCAAAAAGCAGAGCCCACAGTTCTACCTAAGGGGCTAATGGACTGTCTACGAGCCTCCACTTGGCACAGCAGACTAGTCCATCAAGTTTTATGCTGGCCCATGAACCATGGGCCTTTTACGTGGTTGAAGTTAGACTCGCAGTAGTCGAACCACGATATATTGTAAGTTTTATTAACCGTGGTTGTGGTTGTGGTTGTGATTGTTGGTGGTTGATTGATCTAAGCTCACCTGAGCGAACAATTCATATGTTTTCATATAAAAGTAAGAGTTTGAAATGAAACAAGAGAAAAGGTTGCATATAAGAGTGTTTTCTTTTCTTCTTTTTTTATTCCCTCTCGGGCTAGCAGCCGAAGATAGGTGCCCATTGACATAGATCTTCAAAACCCAATCCAAATCAAAGAGAATCAAGTGGAGCAAGATATGCAACTTTTGGGCTAAAAAAAACAAGCCCCCCCTACAAATATTCATTTTCACCCAATTAAAATTTTTATAATTCAACTACTAAGCCTACTTCGTCTATACCTACCCGATTTTAACTAAGTCTACTACATATTATAGACGCCTTTTTAATAATAAGTTCATTTTTTATTTTCTCAAAACTAGAGTTTTATTCACTATTTTATTTCATACACCACACACGAAAGAGTTTTTTCATCTCTAATGAGATACATGCTAGTATTACTACTCCATTTAATTTTTTGTTTAATTTTATGTGTATTTTGTTTTTTGTTTTGGCTTTCTATCAAACTTAATTATTTTTTATTTAAGGTTTATATGTGGGTATATGTATATATATGTATGTATTCATACAAGTTTGCAACATAAAAAAAAAACAAAATATTGTAAATTCGTTGATTACTAATGAACTGTACATATAAATTATTCTTATAGGTGTACTCAGTAGATTTCTTTGATCCAGTTTGTGTCCAATTAATGAGAAGTTAATATTGTGGTCCACACTATGTATTGCTATTTTTCCTCATGTACAAGAGTAAATAGTAAATGAAAAGAAGATAGAATGTAAACTTATTATTAAACAGGTGTATGTAACATGAGATAGATTTAGTTAAAATGAGGTAGATAAAGAAATGGTGGGCTTAGTTGTTTGAAAATAAAAATTTTAATAGGGTGAAAATGGATATTTAAGGGGTGTGGGAATAACCCTACCCAAAGAACAAAACTGACCTTCTGTTACTTTAGAGGGGGGGTTCACAGGCGGGCAAAGATCCATGCCGAAGGGTTGGAATCATACCGGGCTAGTCTCTCAAAGAAAGGGATAGTAAATGGTTTGTTTCAATAGGGTCAGTCTTAACGGGTTTTTAAATGGGTCGTGATTGAATTTTCACTTTAATATTTAAATTAAGATTTCAAATCTTTTGAATTTTGGCAGGCCAATGGAACTTGTCAACCCAACCTGAGTCGTGGGCCATAATTGGTCTAACTTAGCGAGGATCATGACCCACGAACCTACCCGTTTGTTAGGCTAGATTGGTCCTCTCCATCAGAGACCACGATTGTCTGTTTACCTTCAAATGACATTCCTGAAGCATAACCATTTCATAATCCCACAAAAGATAAAAAGCTCGTTTCATAATGAAAAATCGATAATTTAATGTTGAAACCTACCGATAATTTAATTGTCATAATTATTGATCCCCAAATTATGTAATCAAATTATCTCCTAATTGCATTGCTCAATACATATGCATGGTTTACAACCCGTTTAATTTAAGACACGATTTATCATTTTTGTAGTACATTAGCTCACCTCACAATTCTTAATCTTTCATGAGAGTAATGGATATAAAAAATCGGTAATGTGTACATCTTTTATTTTAATATTAGTCATAACTCGTACTTAAAGACACAATGAAACATAAAATTCGAATGTCCAAAAAAATACATCCCACTATATTAAATAATACTTTTTTTTCTTTCATTTCTTTAATTACATCATTTAAAATTTATGTTTATCCATTATTTATTTAAAAATATCAACAATTTTTTTTCAAAATATGTAATCCGACAAATTTTCTCAATATATATTATCGTGTATGGATAATATTTGATATAAAAAACATATTAAACTATAAATTAATCCAATATTAAAATAATTAGGCATGCGATAGAAATGAGTGATGTGATATTTTTGAGAAAAAAATTGTGTAGAGAATAAGATTCAACTCGTGACCTCGACGAAAAACTAGGTTTCAACATATCAAAACTCTTACCATATAAATTTAGTGGGTGGGTTATCAATAACCACCACGTTTAATAACTGCAATCAGAGTAGTAGGGTTCACCAATCCGATTTAAGGAAGAAAACATTTTCTTGGAAATTGGTTTTTTGTAGGATTGCATTTGTTATTTTTGTCGAAGAAATAGAATAATTAGCCATAAAATAAATGAGAATTCCTGAAGAAAACTCTCCTCCGCTACAGGTAGACTTTTACCGAGGAAATAAAGTCTTCGTCAGCAAATATTTTTAACCGCAACCTCGCTCCAATGAGTATTCCGCTGAAAATTTTAGTTAGAGATAACTTTTGCCAACAAAAGTTTTGGTTTTCCATAGGAAAAATTTTTCTCGGAAAAACCCTTAATTGTTGTAGTTATTGATCAATGGTATTACATGCCAACATGCCACGACAAATTTTTACTCAAGATTCCTAGCGACTTTGTTCCAATGGGAAAAGCAACATAGGATTCTGAGGGGAATAGTATAACTAATTACACGAAGAACCCATCTTAATCTTTTTATATTGCAGCAAAACCCATTTCATGTAAATCGGCAAGCATCCTCCCAAAAAATAGTTCTTAACACAAGACCCCTGGAGTTCAGTAATTGATGCTAGCTATTCTGTGTGACCATACTATTATTTAAGTTTCTGAGTAGGGTAAACTAAAACAGTATGCTAAAAATGGTAGTCTAGGGCATGAAATTCCTATTACTTCGACGTTTGGAGAAAGTTAAATGTATGCATTCATACTCGTAGGTTGTTTTTGCGATTCAAACCCTCAGTAATATATAAAATAAATCAAAATCATTCATCAAATTCATGTGCAGAATTTCCAACCAATGCAAAAATGTGGACTCATACAAATTCTCTTATCATAGCAACTTTGGTAATTTCATTTGATCTTTGCTACAACTTATTAAGAAAGAGTAGACCCAACTGTTTGGCTAGTTCAAAATTTGAAGATTTTGGAGGAAACGTATAAAAGATACACAAAATACATAAAAACAATTAAGGTTTTTGTTGTAACACCTGGGTGATATATACACACTAACACTCAGTTTAATTGTCAAGAATATATATATTTATGGAAGACAACAAATTTTAAAATCTTGTAACAGCTCGGGTTCATGTTATATATACACACACATATACACATACGTATACATAGTAGTTAGTACACACATATTCACAAACACGTATTATGTGTACTAGTTGTAATATTAGATAGATGTACGTACAAACATATATATACATACACACGCGCAACAATACAAAAATGATTCATTTTAATTGAGAATCAATTCAAATATAAAATGACCAACATGGTTTTAACTTATCTTTCAGACAACATTGCAAGTATATAACATAGAATGACTTCAAACATAAAACTCTCCACTGTAGTCCTCAAAAGAACTCTAAAGTGTTTTTAGGAGAATGTTCCAAACAACTTTCACCACTCCTCAAGTGACACTTACTTTTCATGAAAATAAGGGAAGTTTATCCTTGTTGAACACGATTTTCACTTGAAATCTCCTTAGGTATACTTCCATCAATCTTCCTCTTCACACTCGGAAAGAGACTGCTCAATCAAGCAGCTATATAACCCAAAAATGAAGTAACAGAACACCTTCACCAAGTGTGACAACTTGAAAATTGAGAATATGCACAATCGATCAACAAGGACAGCCTGTTTGGTTTTTTCCTAAGCTACATTAGAACCTATACGTTAGCAATTATGCAATTTGTAGCAGCTAAGTGTTTCAATATCCATGTATACCTAATACGTCTAACGTCGATAGGCTAGCAATTTATGCTTAGCAATAAAAGTAATAGATAAGCTATCAGTTGATTATAAATATGATGAACACTAAGAAATGCAAATGTGAAGCTAAAAGTATCGTACCTTCCGGGGAAAAAGAAGCAGCCAAAATTATCATTTAATATAAATAAAACAGCGTTAAATAGACTAGAACTTAGGTGATCAAGAAGAGACTCCCACACCTAGAAAATCTATGAAGGGAATATCCTTCTTTTTAATGGATTGATCTCCTTGATCTTGCTCAACAGTCGACCTTATATTTGAAACTGGCTGCGAATTATCGCCATAAACCACCAACTCCCTCTTGCTCATTCCATGAATATTTCCATTAAAATCACCAAGTTTTGAACACCCAAATCGGCTAACAACTCTCTTGTAATTTGGAGTCCCAACTGCACCAGCTGAATCCCGGTAGCCGCCACATATTGCTGAATTCAAATAATAGTGCCTAAGAGATTGGTCTGAACTGTTGGAGCTTTGTGTAGTGCAATGAAATGAGCTAGAATGGAATTGATGTCTGTCTTCTCTCCCAAATAAATCTACTAAAGATGAGTTGTTTGTAGCTAAAATTGCACCCGGTTGGGCAAAAGTCCATGATGAAGGGGATGAACTGGAAGATGATACTGAGAAAATTCGCTCTTTGTTCGGGTTCTGGAATTCGAAGTATCGCGTGTTGTCCAATCGAAATTTTGGGCCATAACCCTCTTGAGTTTTTGAATTCTTTCGTCGAAAACCATAAGAGGGAGAGTTGGAGGGACTAATAATATCTTGGTAACTTCTTTTACCGCATACTTTCGATTGTTCTCTTTGCTTTCTTGCCATAATAACATGCCAATGATTCTTCACAGCGTTATCGGTTCGACCTGGAAAGAGCCTGGATATAAGTGCCCACTTGTTTCCATGTATACGATGAGCTGCAAGAAGCCTTTCTTCTTCTTCTTCTGTAAATGGCCTTCTGTTGATCCTTGGGTCTAGTTGATTAAACCACCTCAATCTGCAACTCTTCCCTAAATAGAGCAAGAAAACCAAAACACCAACTTCTTAAAATTTCAGATTATTTGTGTATGTGTGTGTGTGTATGAGAGAGAGAGAGAGAGAGACAGAGAGAAAGAGTTTTCAGCTTTAGAATTATGATGAAAGGATTATTTATTAGAAAACATTGAAGGATGAAAAGATGCACAACTAATTCAAAGTGAATTTCCAACCCTAATCTTTGAGTTACTATTATATATGTCTAGGACTAGCTATCCAAGAATCAACACAATTGCACACACACAAAGACAGATTTTATTCAAATACTATACCTGATCTTCCTTGGAGCTTCTCAGCAATTGAGTTCCAATTCTGGGGACCATATTGTTCAACAAGTTGCCGGAGTTTTTCATCCTCTGCTGGTCTCCAGTGTCCTCGAGGACAGTTTCTGGCATCATCTCTAGAGCAATCTCCGGTTTCGTCCATCGCCGCCAACGCTGACCGTGGTAATTTAGGCAAAACTGGAAAGTCTTGAACAGCAACTAGAGAAAAGAGAAATCCACAGCAAGATTTTAAAGGAGGAGAAGAAATGTGCACCAAGAGAGAATAGGAAAGTGGGTTGGTTTAGGGCTGTGGATGGCCAGTCACTTTTGTTGGTTTTACACGACAAATTGGAGCTCATATGTACCTGTACAAACACTGACCCTTTCTTCTTTTACCATTGGCCCATGAACTTCTCCATATATTTCCTACCTGATTTCGTTTTTCTATTTCATTACTTCTCTCTCTCTCTCTCTCTCTCTCTCTCTCTCTCTCTCTCTCTCTCTCTTCAACCACGGTTCTAAGTTAAATCAAAGCCAACTTAGTCGCACCTCGTGTGGTGTTACTTATACATTGGTCCTAGCCACAAGTTTATTTTATTCTGCAATTTTAGGTATATCTCTTAATACTTGTAGCCGTGGCCTTATGAAATGCCTTGCTTTGAAAACCATATTAGAATTTTTTTTTATTTTCTCAGTTGGTTTATAAGCATTATAGTAGCTAATAATTGGGTACATAACCTCTTGACAAATAGCAAAGAATCCACTGTCACTGCATTTTTGTTTCCATTGATGTCCAATAAGACTTAGAAAAAGAAAAGGATCGACACTGTTATGACTTTGAGCATGCTCTGAATTAGACTTTAATCCTTTAATCTTTTCGTTACTTAAGTTTGGTACATCATATATATATTTATAAGCATCCTAAATTATAGACGGAAAATTTGAAGATGTCCAACTTTAGATTAGGATCCATAAAGAGGTGAAGTCAGTATCTTGGTAAGTTAAAATGGTGGCTATTAATCCATCCACATGTGACATTTGATCTAATTAAGAATTACAGAAAAGCATTTTTGATAAGCTAATGACTTCATTTAATTATATGTTTAATTAGGTTATCAAACAATATTTAAGGTATCTCTTGTTCCTACGACTTCTCGTTACGAACACTGACAGAAGCCGCCATCACAATTGGTTTCTCTTGGATCAAAAAATGCTGTGTCAACGCCCCCATCCATGCATGCATAAAAAATTTTATCACTAAAAAATTCAAAAAGAGAGAGAGAGAGAGATCCCTTGGTATAAAAGAAGTGATTTTCTTTTTTTGGAAGGTAAACTGTTTCGTTTCTGAAAATAATCAAAGATGTACTTAATTAAAAAAAAAACAAGTGATTTTGTTAGAGGGCAAAAATACAAAATTTTAATTTCGATAAGTTTAGAGGAAGAAAAAATTACTCTTAACTGAGTTTATGTTTTTTGGCCTGAAGGGTTTAATCCGAGTGCCGTGGGAGTACAGCATCAACATACAAAAGGATAACCCGTCCACCTTTTCATGCAATTATACTTCCATGCAGATGGCAAGTCAAATACAAACATTGAAAGATTACAAGTAATGAGTATTAAAATGGATTTCTTAACTGATTGATTATTTCATACCCCACGAAATCAAACATTTCTCTTCCCATCTAAATATGCATATAATAGCTTATCCATTAACATCAACATTAATCAAGTAAACAAGACATCTCCAACGGTGGGTGTAAAATCGGTATCTAACCGTAACCCGTCCAGATGGCTGCTATCACCTCCATCTTATCAATTGGAATTTTTGGATTAGCAACTTTATAAAATTCTCCGGATGATACGGGTCTTGCTAGTCAGCTCATTGTTATTTTTTTGGCTTTTGAAAGAATAACCTAGACATTTGGTAGGAAGAACTTTCAAATCCAACTTCACAATGTTTTGTATTCAATATACGTAGTTTAATCATCACCTAACTGTTATCATAGGGGGAAATCTTCACAAGTAAAAACCGAGAGAGACTGCTCAACTATTTCTAGTTTTTATGACAAAATCTGTGAGTATACTATACCACCTACTGTACCCGTTAAAAATATGATATCTTATAGGAGCACAACTACAAAGACCAAATTTAAATGTATTTACCTAAAGCTTTGTTTCAAGCTTTTTACCCATTAGTTAATTCATATATTAAAGAAATATTTGATGATGTTTTTTCGAAATACCATTTTTGAGAAAAAAATAATTTCGTCAAAAAAATAAAAGTATGTTTAATTACTATTTTTAAAATATGGTTTATATGGATCTTACTGCATACATGATACACTTTTTTGTGCCTATATATATATTATTTGTGCCTGTATGTGTGTGTGTGTGTGTGTGTATTGTAACATGAGATTAAGGTTAAATAAATGGAACAAGTCTAGACCAAAAAAGCCAATTCAGATGGAAAGGTTTAGTAACTAGGCAAAATAACCATGGCAGAGGATGGTACATACATGGAAGATACATAATTTCAATGTAAGTTAGAATTGATTTGTCGTACCAATCATATATGGAAGCTAAATATAATTTTATTGCAGAATGTGCTCAAAAGTTTTTTTTTCATCTTTGCCATTTTGATAAGAATTATGTACCATATATTTGAAAATTTAAACGTTTCTTTCATTATATGATCTCATAAATGTTCTATAAAGCTCATATGTCGTTAGGCTTACTAGTCCAAGTAAATGATTAATTCTTAAGGAGAACAACCTAATAAAAGAAGGTTTTAATGAGCAAGTTGTTAGGTTGGAGCCTTTCTGGAAACGTTAAGACATTGACCCAATCTTGATCTAAGACGACACATTTAAGAAGATATTTCAAATTTGAAGTTCATAAGCTAATGACGTTTGATAATTCTTTTACAAGAACAACAAATGCTCGGCCACGTATGTAATTAATTTATTTCCCACCTTTTTTTTGACTGGTTTCATATTCATGTTTTTTTTTTTGGCAATTATAATGATTTCCACAAGGCTTGTATTTATCAGCACTGTTGCTTGGAAGAAGTCCTTTAATTTGAAGCTGCCAATTGATTCTGATTTCCTCAGGCATAACCTTAACAGAAAATTAAAATTTTAGCCACATATTAATGCAGCTTCAAGTTGAAGTTGCACGCCCAAGTTACACTGCTTGGCTTGAATTTGTAATATCCTTTGCCTTTACTATGAATGACTTTTCTATATGAGATGGCATTGCCCAATGTTGAAAAAACTGCCTAATTCTGGTGGTGAATGTTGAAAAAATTGCTTCTTCTTCTTGTTTGGTGTTGAGTGAAACTGAATCTTTTAAACTTGACTGATACCATGGGTCAACCCACTATGCAAAGCATAGTAGAGTTTTTGTATTAAAGTAAATATACTTACTCCATTACCCTTTATATGCTCACAAAACTTTTCTCATTCTTCCGCCGTGGGATTAGTGTCAAAGGCACCCTTTCACCTTCTCAAAACATGAGTTTTTCACAAAACTTCTACCCACAAAAAACTCTATTTTGAAAATCTTTTAATACATGCCCAAGTAGAATTGGAAGTGCTTTTTAGGCCTCCAAAGTTAGGTAGTAGCACACAAATGTTAGGTTTCTAAGTGCCATTTCAAGTTATATATGAATAGGGTATAATACCAAAAAAATAATATTTTGACATGACATCGAAAAATAAATTTTCATCTGGTGACAGAACAATAATACAGAAAAATTGCACGTATTACATACCTGACCTTGGATAGAAGTATGATACCGAAATATCACTTTTTGATATTATAGTGTAGCTCTCAAGCTCTACATGATAATTTAATATAGTCTTCCAGTAATAGAAAGGTTCAGAATGGCTTTCAAACAGTAAATGGAAAGCATTTCAGTTACTTGCACAACCAAGCATCCAATTCCCCAAATGTCCTTTTTATGAAAACCATAATATACCTTTTATCAATCTCACCTTTCCAAGTAACCATATAAGCAACACATCAACGAACCCTGAAAAACTCTACAAACCAACTTTGACTACTCCCATCCAACCCTCTTCTATATTCTACATTACTCACTACTGCATCATATATATAAGACTAAGCTACCCCATTAACTTGCACTTCAACGTATATCAATCTTCCTATCTTTCTTAAATTTGCTCTCGTTTAATGCATTTCGTTGCAAGGTTGTTGATCATAATGCTGGCCCCTTTAATTTTCCTACATGCTATCGCAACATTAGAGACATAAAAAATATCGAAATGTCTAAAGGTCAATTTTCGTGAGAAAGTTCTAGTTATTCGAAGAGCCTTTTTTTTCCGTGATTATATGGTTATAGTGACTTAGTCAATGTGAATGACAGTAAAAAAATAAAAATAAATAAATAGATCAAAGCATAGGAATGAAAACCCAAAACTGGCATTTATGTGGTTTGATAAAATTTTGCTTCAGTCTGTGATCGTATCTAGTCTTTTCTAGTCTTGAAAGAATTTATAATATTATTCAAGTTTATATTCAAATCCAAGTTATTGGACCACTCCAAATTTACACATTCAAATCCTAGTAAAGAAATCCCTGAATTTTTAGAAAACCTCACATTTTCCTCAAATACCTCACCAAACTTAGATTTTCTTCTCCCTTCAAAAAATTAATGTATATTCGAACGTGTATAGCTAGGTAGCATAACAATTTGGCAAACTTATGTATTATAACAACTTGAAGATGGTTGGTTCTCTTAAAGCACATGTCAAAGTACCTTTTTGATGGCCTTGAAGATTAATGTTCCTGCAAGTGATTTAAGTAGTGTCTGTATATTTTATGTGTAAGTAATAAGATTATTCTATTATGATCTGTTTATAAAGGGTTTAAGTATAGAAAAAAATAATTTACATGCATCGGTAAAATTGTGTAAATTTGACCTTTTTCAAACCCCAAAGTGGTAGGAGTCTCATGCATCAGTCACTCTTTTATGGATATTTATCTAAGATAACATTTAAAAAGTTGAATTCTTAACTTATAATAAGATTTATCTAATTTTTATTTATTTTGATCAAATGGTATAAAATTCATTCTAAATTTTTTTGACTAATACTATTTAGACCTAAAAGTCTTACCTAATTTGCTGACATAATAATGTAGTTTCACAGAATCATTAAATCAACACCAAGTTCTAATGTTTGATGGGTCTCATAGTCAATCCAAAGGTCATAGTGAATTAGATCAACAAATTATGTCAGTAAATTAGGTTCCAATAGCATTGCTCAATTTTTTTTCCCCGCTCAATAACATCATCTTTTTTACACGGACCCCAATATCAAACAATTCAACCAGCAAACTCTCAAATATCAGACAACCCTATTAATTTACACTTAGCTCTCTTTTCCCTCTCTTCTACTTCTCTCTTATTTTCTTTTTATTGACTTTAATTTTAAGTTGCATAGTTAAATTGTTATTTAAAATATAAATATTACATGATTAATACTCAATTTTTTGTATTGTAGAATGCAAACACGGGTTATTATTAGTATACATGTGTGTGTGTATATATATATATATAATTAATGTAGTAGCAGTCTTCGATGGCAATCAGTTCTGATATGGCCAACATGAAGGTTTTTGGAATTCGATGACGTGTTATCCAGCACTAACCTATGAAGTGAAGTAACCCATAATTAAAATGTGTGCACTGGGAGACTTATTTCTTGCCACATTCTCATTAAAACTAACCCTAATTAATCCATTCTAAAATAATGTGTTCCATTAGAGTCAAGTGCAGTTAGTTGGCGTTTTGTATTAACCTCTCACTTTCAGCAAACAAGGACTTGTCATATATTCTCCACTCAGGTGTCTAAGATGTAAAGTAAGTGGAACAAGACAACGACAGTTTAGCTACTCTTTATGATTTTCTCTAGAAACTGTCAATTTCATCATACTGTGATTATCATTCATCAATAGATCGTGTAAGGACCTGATTTGAGATTTTTATTGAGTCGTGTCAGTTTGTTTTTGATTTGTGTTATGTGTTAATCAAATTTAATTTGACCCGTTTAATTAATGATATCAAATATCTTATTACTATGACTCGACTTCTTTATTAATCGCAAGAGCATATTCTGCGAACAAGAGATCCACTACTAGAACCCCTTTTCCCTCAACAAAATCGATCACCCAATCTATTCAGATCCAAATGCTAGCAGTATCAAGTGAAAAATCGTTTAATTTTTCAAGGTATTTTTCGTGTTAAAATCGGGTTTTTTTTGTGATTGAGTAGTGATGGGTCAAGCCTAAATGGTTCAATCCATGAGAAAAAAATCCAAGTTTATAGAAGTCTAAGCAAGGTCCAAGACAATCAAGCCCATCAGGGAGTTACACCACCAAGAAAGAATCAGGTGAGGAGAGGAGGGGTCATCCTCATAGCTTGGAGAGAATCAACCTCCCGCATCCTTGCCGGTTGAGGAGAGGAGAAGTCGCCAAAGAATTTAATTATTATTAAATGGCCCCAACTATAACCGTCAGACTAGCTATACAATTACTACGCAGATGACTATAAATTGTAAGCTCCCCCAACACTTAGGGGACATCTCACAAAATCAAAGCTCCTCTCTTCTCTCTTGTAATTCTCTACTCTCTACTAACCAATATTAACTTGATAATTGCTTATCAAATTCGTGTTGTATTGAAAATCAAAAACCCTTTGACGAAGAAGCTCGACTCACACTACTACTGTAAAGCCCTCGATTCCAATATGATTTCCTTGTTTCATTCGCCCAAAGAATTTTCTTGG